GTGGTCATATAGCCTATTGTGCACTTGGATTGAAATATATATATATATATCTATATCTTCTGATTAAGGACAGATTTAGATACGGGTCAGATGCACTATTCTCTATACTTAAGATGTGGAGACCAAATATAACACTATAAGGAATTTCTCATATTTGTCATAACATTACTACATTATATTCTGTGGGTTTAATGCATTTGCAGACAATGTAATTACATGTAACTGTCATATAACTGTATATTCACTGTTCGAGAGTGTCATTGAATGTGTAGCTATAGGGTTTTCATGAAAAAAAAATCTAACTAAAATCAGAACTGAAAACAAACACTGGATTAAAAAAAAAAAAAGAAACTCCCAATAAATGTCCAAACAGTGATTCTATCAAAACATTTATTGTGTTATATCTTGCATTATTTATGTCTATTTTTGCATTTGATGTTGATTTGATGGGAATTGTTACTATTGCCATCATACCAATTGAGAATTTATTGCAATTTTTTAAATATCTGACATATTGTGACATAACATTGATCTTTTATATGAAGTCTTTAGAGCCATAGGCTATAATATGTTGTTTTTAGATAAATTGCTCAGAGACCAACCAGTTGGACAGAGGTTAGTACCATCCAAGCACCCAATTCCTAGCCATTTCTAACATAGGCCACATTTCATTAACATTGCTAAATACTATTAAACTGGAAATAAATTAAAGATCTATCTTTGATTGTCAAAAGAATTCCAGGTTCAGTTCCCTCTCAGCCAATTAGATTTTACATAGTATTTTCATCGGTCATTTGTGGAGGTCTGATTGTTTAAAGCTTTATTTATAAAGCGCCTTTTAAAAGTGTTTACAAAGTATTTTACAGAGAGATGCATATGTGCATTCACAGAAAAGAAAATACAAATACAAAAATAAAAGAGATAAAGTAGTAAAACAAAGTGCAATAACCAGTTTGTTAAAACAAAAATACAACAATAAAAAAACAAGGCCTTTAGTGAACAAATCTGCTTTGAGATACTTTTTAAAAGTGCACAATGATAACTTCTGACAATGTTTAATTCAGGTGTGAAAAGAATTAATATCTAGCGCGTGAGCACAGAGATTTGCGAGTGCACAGGACAGTTTGAGTGAGAGGAGAGACACGTTTTAAGTGCACGCACACTCTCTGGGCGAGAGCAGCGTGTATCTGAGCGCGCGCGTGTCAGGTTTTGTGTGAGAGCAAAGAAAATCCGCATGCGACCGGGGAGATTGGCGCTCGCGCATTATATTAATGTGCTTTTGCGCCACAATAATGTGCTCTCGACATTTGTCATTAAATTAACGCCATAGTCAGCAGGTGGCACTTTCAGAACTGCATAAAGATAGACTTTGAAACTCGCAGCGCTCATATTTATCCAATGAAATCGTAGCCTTTTTCATTTTAATCATCACATTAAGTTATATGGCAATTGTCTTTCCGTCCCCATTGTACTTTTTATGACCTTAAATTTGATGCAATTAAATTTAAGACTTTTTAAGGACCCGCGAAAAAGGCATTGCTGACATTGAGATAGAAAAAAAAAAAAAAGACAAATATAATAAACTGCTTTAAATTTTTCAGGTACAGTACAGGTATCCTTAAATGCAGCGTTTAAGTAAGAAATGTACTAATCAAATGAAATTTTTTTTAAATGCATATTATTAATCGTATGAATAATATAGATTCTACTGGTTCTCATATTAGGCTGAACTACATACTGCACAGATCAGTTGATAAACATGCGATTTCTTTTACATTTGATTGAGACAAAACCAACTGTGTTTATGTGAACCATGGGTGCTTTTGACAGTTGAAACATAATAAACGCTAAAGAGAGTATAGTTTAGCCCCCGCTGGGATGTGCGCGCTCGTAGCCTATTATAAAAAGTTTAAACTGGCAAGGCTCACAGCTGTATCTCTCTTACACAGTTTGGAAGCGGTTGAAATTAAAATAAACGAGTGTACATTGTGAGCGAATAATTTGCAGAGATCTGCCAGAAGCAGCAGCCACTATGAACAGCTGATTTTTATGGAAACATCTGATGGCCAAACTACATCGGAATTCGCAAATGGAAAAATCAAGTGAGCCCGGGCCGATTTGTGTTCACAATGCACGGTTTTAGCGAACCGTACTCCGAACACCTCTCGAGATGGTCTCGGTTCGGTTAGCTTCTGAGGGGTCTGAGATCATTTGGAGTGTTCACATATGGGCCAAAAATCACGCAAACCGTGCTCAGACCCCTGAAAAGGACCAAGTGTGAAAACACCCTTTATCAGGCATTACAGGCATGATGAAATGAAAATGAGCCCAATCGGACCAATCACCACAGATTAGCGTCACGCAAAGGAGGGGTTTGGAAAAATTAATCGTTGAGCGAATCATTTGGGACCCCGCTGGGATGTGCGCGCTCGTAGCCTATTATAAAAAGTTTAAACTGGCAAGGCTCACAGCTGTATCTCTCTTACACAGTTTGGAAGCGGTTGAAATTAAAATAAACGAGTGTACATTGTGAGCGAATAATTTGTAGAGATCTGCCAGAAGCAGCAGCCACTATGAACAGCTGATTTTTATGGAAACATCTGATGGCCAAACTACATCGGAATTCGCAAATGGAAAAATCAAGTGAGCCCGGGCCGATTTGTGTTCACAATGCACGGTTTTAGCGAACCGTACTCCGAACACCTCTCGAGATGGTCTCGGTTCGGTTAGCTTCTGAGGGGTCTGAGATCATTTGGAGTGTTCACATATGGGCCAAAAATCACGCAAACCGTGCTCAGACCCCTGAAAAGGACCAAGTGTGAAAACACCCTTTATCAGGCATTACAGGCATGATGAAATGAAAATGAGCCCAATCGGACCAATCACCACAGATTAGCGTCACGCAAAGGAGGGGTTTGGAAAAATTAATCGTTGAGCGAATCATTTGGGAGTCATTGAGCAAGTAAGGTAAAAATAAATGCATATTATAAGACAAAGAAAGTGTTTTTTGACCTTGCCTGCATGTCAACCTGTTGTTGGGGACAACCAAAACCAAAATATGAACCTTTCATTACCCACAATAGGGGCACTTAAAAAAAATA